ACTGAACAAAATTTCCAAACATCACCCGGTGTTGCAAAGAAGATTATTGCGACGAAAATGCACTTCCTGCGTACAAGTATATGAATAAACTGACAAAAGATTACCGGATACGCATGCCTGACGAGNCCAGGACTTTCATTCGAGTAACTCAAATAAGCTTATCGTAAATTGTATAAGTATATATCTGCTTTCCGCACCTTACATGATCATTTTCAACAGCGGGTTCTCCTATAGGCAAAATGGCAAAGTCAATCTTTCTTTTTGACACGTGATTACCTCTTCTACAGCCGCTCAACAAGGGGATACAAACGAATCTACATTCTTATGTACGTAGCTGCATTGTCCCTGTACCATTTTGCTCAAGGCTATTCCGGGATTTCCACGAGTTAACCTCCTCTAAATATGTAATCAACAACTTTTGGTTATTTGTCTCCAAACCACCCTTGCGATTCGATTTCCAGGGGACCAATTGTTTTGAAGTGTTGAAACGGTGTTCAGCAAGTGTAACACTATTATCTTATTCCACCTTCCGGAACAAAAACTGAACGAATCAGACGCCTGAAAAAGGTCACGGAGATAGACGCGCGGACTGGATTGTACAGAAGTGAAGTATCGGAGAAAACCGGCGTTTCAGTTGAACATCTTGCTGCAAACAGTATAACTAAAAGCTGAATGCTCCTCCGGGAGAAAATACACGAACGAGGTTGAAAAGACGCAAACCTCTGAAGCTGTAATAAATTCTCGTAAACCGTATTCTGAATAGACTACGGCGGTTCACGTAGGCCAGGTGTGTTATTCACAAATTGAGCAAACAACTTATGAGTAGTTGAAAGCTACAATGTTTGATAAACCACTAGACGAATAAATCAGTCTCCAGAACATTTCAGGGTGAAAAGCATGCTGATGACAGGATCATACAAAATGCAAAAAACCAGTGTATAAATGAAATAAGCATCGCTAGATTGAGTGCGATACTGTAGTGTGTATTTCATCACCTTCAGAAGTAAGAACAGATAACACTGAAAGGATGAGAATAAAGAAAAAAGATAAAACGGCATAATCGAAAGGACAGGAAAAAAAGGACTATGATCAAACGACATCGATTCGGCTTCGGGGATGTGATACGAAAGAGATACGGTTTCTGGCAGAATTGTATACGCTGATCGTGTGAAGACAGGACAGGGACACAAGATACAAGACAGGTTGGTGGATGACGAATGCGAGAGAGTGAGGAATATCAAAATCAGTTGGAAAGAAATCACAATAATGAGGGAAATCTTTTTGTCCCAATCAATTGTAATAGTAGTATCGATTGCCCAATGCGATTGCTCAGCCTCAAATACCATGAGCGACAGAACATGTTACTTTGTGCCAGACCTAGAAAAAGAAAAAATGGAAAATGAAGGGGCAGTTTGAGTGACATTCAGGAGGTGAAAAACTGTTACACAAAGAAACTATGACACATGCAATAGTGATAAGAGAAAATCAATACACAGAATATCTGTTTATCTTAACTATGTGTAGTACAACCATGCGTTTTTTATGACACACAAGTGTGTGATGAACAGCTGACGGACCGGACCCCGTACTCACGAAGACCTGCTGTTCAGTGATGGTGACCGTCAACCTAAGCGCCGGGACTGGAAGTGGCGAATCACATAAGACCCACATAGATCCGGAGGGTCACTAAACCAAACGACAGCAAAGCTGTCTACAACCGAAGTTGGGTGGCAATGGTGGGGCTCGAACCCCGAACCACTAGGTCCAAAGCACGCCGGTGACAGTGAATGAACCACTGCGCCACCAACACCCTCAGTTGTGGAAATCACTAATACACTAGAAAGAACAAACGCATTAGAGGAATAGTTAGATGAAAACAATTATTACTGTTACAGTGAAAATGGGAAACAAAACTGGTTTTATAACACCTGTGAATGGCAAAACAAACACTATTGCCCCGATAGGTTAAACAATTTGATAACCGAAAATTAATTACTTTCTTACGCATATATTCACTTGAGATTCGTGAGAACCCGCTTATGGAAAGGGTTTATTCAAAACGAAACAGAGAAAGCATGTGGGGTAATTAAACGTTGCTTGATCTCACGGATTCCCGTCGTTCGAAATACAGTGTGTACATGCAAAACACTGCCTCATTTCATTGCGAATACAAGAAGAAAAATCAGGGTTGCGCGACACAGTACAACAAATGGAGCACAAAGTGAATCCCGATGAAGAAGTTGTTAATTAACCTGTACGAACGTCATTTGAATGCACGTGAAAAGTTTGCATATCAGTCGTATCGACTCCACAAGTCCGCGCTACACGCCGATGAAACTTCCTGTTGTTCCCATCCTCCAACTAGATCCCAATCTCGTTATGTTCCCTCTCGAATGAACAAATATCGTAACTCTACAGTACCCTCATTAGCACCTATTCTAGTTAACAAAGAACAGGTTTCCACAGATTTGTTAACAGTCTTGGGATTTAAATTTCTTTTTTCATCATTATTATGTCTACGTGAGTAACGGAGGATTTGGTTCAATTTCAAAGGGGGAATACGTTGTGTATATAGCAAATGAAGCGTGAACTGAAAAGCTAGGAAGCATTGGACAGTTGTTTCGATCTGGTTAGGTTTCATCAGCAAAACGAATCTAACAACCTAACTGGACCTCATGGGCAGGACGAAAGCATGCAACCCACTCGGCTTCCACCTCACTCTAACCTGTATATTTTTCACTGAAATGTAGGCTTCATGTCTACCGAAGTTATGACAATACAATACAAATCAAATGATAGCATGTCAATGGCAATTGGACCACTTACTCGCCTGGGACTAATGCGCGCGAATCATTTGGGGTTTTCGGCTCTGTGTCCAGCATGAACGTCACGTGACCGTGCGTTGTATGTGGGGATCCCATTGGATTCGGTGTTATCGGTTCTACGCGCAAGTGAGCGCATAAGCACACACACAGAGAGAAATATGCAAAAATAAAAGTAACATGAGTATGCGTAACATATCAACTGATTGGGAAAAAATAGCAGTTAAGCGAGACCGCTCCCAACTACACCTTTTCTCATCAAGCTTTAGCCAAAACATGCAATTCTTTAACCGTGACCCGTAGTTTTTTAGCCTCGACGAACAACCTTTAGTCATTGTTTTGCATTCACAAGTGAACTCTGTTCATAAGATTTGAATACAATAGCATACCGTGGATAAAAATACATCGATCAAAATAGACTCCCGTTAGCACATCTTTTTCCGTCAGTCTTTAGACAAAATCTCTAATACTTGAGCTTGGACTGTGGTAACTATGTGAAATGTTGCAGTGCTAATAAACTGATGCGTAGTAATAGGGGGGTGTACATTTTTTGTGAACGGTGTTTATTGTCCTCGGGCTGGTAATGTATCCACCTCTCATGAACAGAGCACACTTCAGGTTGAGATATGGAACCGTGAGCATGTACATTTTTGTGGTAACATTTTTTGATCTAATTCAGGGCTTACGAACGCTAAACATCAGTTTATTAGCACTGCAACATTTGATATAATTACCACAGTCCAAGCTCAAGTATCAAGGGTTTTGTCTGAAGACTGACGGGAAAAGATGTGCTAACGGGAGTCTATTTTGATCGATGTATTTTTATCCACGGTATGCCACTGCATTCAAATCTTATGAACAGAGTTCACTTGTGAATGCAAAACAATGACTAAAGGTTGTGCGTCGAAGCTAAAGAACTACGGGTCACGGTTAAAGAATTGCGCGTTTTGACTAAAGCTTGATGAGAAAACTGGCAGTTTTGGATTTGAAGTCACTTCATCCACAGTGAACTGGAACCGCAACGCGTTACACTGAGAATGCCGGATGACGGAAGAACGGTCAGTTTAAAGTATTAGTGCAATCAGATGAGTGCCTGTGTGTAAGGGCAGGAACAATAAAGGGAACCAATCACGTGGCTCTATTGGTACCGAGTGTGACGCGTGCAGCGAACTAACACACACACACACACACACACACACACANCCAAACCGAACAAAACTGTGAACAGCCGTGTAGAGCAAGACTGTGCGAACAAACTGGAAATCCTGTACCGGTAGACAAATCAGATTAGCAACTGAAACTGTACGCCACAGTCACACGTGTGTTTGAGCGGTGAAGCCCACAGGCCAAAACTAAAAATGAGGTAAGATGTTAAGAGGGCACCATGCAAAGGAAATGTGGAGAATACCTCAGTCCAATTTGTGTGTTGTTGGGGGGAGCACAGGTAACTAAGAGTGATATGGGAGATATAAATGATGATTATCACCACCAATAAAGATGAAATAGCATCAAATCCAGGCCAGAGTGAATCATCTCACGAGCAGCACGAATAATGTGCTCAACTGTTTTCTTTTTCACTAAACAGTTTTATTTTCTACTTTACAACACCTGATTTGTTCGAGAAGATAATCCGGGTTTACAAGACTGGAGAATCTTGATCGTACAAAAAAAATAAACGTCCTCGGTGTCACCTGGCTTTTCTCGACAGAGTACCGCGAACTTTTGCATAAAACAAAATGCGGACTGCAAATTAACAGTGTTCTGGTGCATAATTGACGTTCTTTCTCGAGGAGCTTCCTCACCATTCGATAGGTGAGGGTATCACTTGAAGATCTATGAATAGATGTTAGTTGGACAGAGTTCCTTCATGGCGGTTGTATCAGGCAGTAGATGTGATTTACAAACTCAAGAGTAGCAGCTTACATATGCCGTTTCGTTTAGGTTCGTAGACCCCGGTTACCTTCGACCTAGTTTGACCCACACTTCGATCGGTTTGCCGAAATGTGTAGAGAGGATATGATAGCCTACTGACTCAGATATGCTACTCTTACCAGACACCTCATAGAATGTTTCGGTGACTAACGATACAGCTCCTGAATAAGTGAACAAAGAAACGTGACTTACTGGAATGAGTAGTGGGTCGTTGGACCTGTTGAGAGAACAACATCGAAAAAAGTATTAAAACCAGTAAGACAAATAGGCATAAATAGTTCTCAAGGTAATCAAATTGTCAGGGCTAACCTTTGGACTGCGGCGGAGCCATTCAAGACCCCGTTGAACAACTGTATCGTGCGTTGTGAAAGGCCAGCTGGTGGAGGGCAACAAACTGACCGATTTTTCCTGAGCTTCTCCGTCCATTTCTTCCTCGGTCGTGAACGACGAACACAATCCCTGGATATCGGCAAACGAGGGACGTAACAGTGCAAGCTCAGCGTCATCCATGGGCTCCGAGAAACTGTCCTCGGCGGATTCGAATTCGAATGTGTTGTTTTCGGTCAGTCTGAATTTGCCATCATGGGGTGCGGACGACAAACGACGATAGAGTCGATAGCTCACCGCTTCGATCGCCTCGGCCGAGTTCTTCGTAATCGGCTCTGGCAACCACGACCGGAGTCGTGTCAGGTATTCGGTCTGTTGACGAAAAAAGAGAACGGCATACAAAAGCATTAAGAACTAACATTAACTAGGACGATAAAATCGTCGATTATTTTAACCGGTCACTACGCAGCCGAATTCTGTAACTAGTCAGGATTACGCTGATTGGGACATGTGCTACGCATGTCACCAGATAGGTTTCCGCGGCGAGCGATGCTTGGCGAGGCAGGTAGCCGTTGGAAAATAATGAAGGGCGGTCAAGCTAAGACCTGGCATGAGGGTATGAAAACACTGGCCAGGAGACTAGCTTACATAGGTCCAGTTAGGCTCCTTGGCTGGGGACCTCGGGATGATCGAACCCGATGGTTAGAGACACTGAGTGGCTGGCGATCAAGCTCCCGAGATACTTAAAGTTCTCAACTACTTCTAGCTGATCATCACAGAGGGTGAGTGCAAGCACAAGGTCCTGCCAGTCTTGTACCAGCACTTTGATGGCGCAAAGCACATACCATACATGGATACCTCTATCGCCAAATGGTGTAGAGCTTGTTGAACTGCCTGTGCATTGCCACCCAACAANCATATTCCAAGTCAAGAAATCTATTCCTTGGGAGGAGTTCGACTCCACCGTTTGCTAGACCGGACAAAGCATTCTGCAGAAGATCCTCTATGGCAATGTTGAAAAGGAATGGGGATATGGGGCAGCCTTGTCGAACTCCATTGGAGACGGCAAGGGGTGCTGAAAGCTGGTTATAGGCCCAAAGCCGATCTGAGGTATGGCGATACAACTCTTCGAGGATCGACACATACTTCTCAGGTCAACACCCGTAGACACAGACCATGCTCTGCTACGAGCGAGATTCTCCCTACACCTGATAAACAACCGCAGAAAAGCCGCCGAAAACGGATGCCCACAATACACTATCACCAGTTGCAAATCGGCGTTCGAAGCGGAACTATAAGATCGCATCTCAACTCAACCATCAGCCGGAGGACTCAATGAACACTGGTCAGCAATCAAGGAAGCGATCCAAATTTCCATCAAAACAACGGCG